GCGGCTTGTTTTACAACGTCGTTGCCAAGCGACGAAAACCCAATCCCGATGGCAAACACCGGGGGGGGCGGCTTGTTTTACAACGTCGTTGCCAAGCGACGAAAACCCAACCCCGATGGCAAACACCGAGAGGGGGGAGGGAGGGGTGTGGTATTTTAAAAAATATGGCTAGCAGCAAAAAAACACAAGTGTCTCTGCTGTTGTTGTGCTTCGCTTGTTGGTTCGAGCTTTGATCAAGAAATTTCAAAAGCGTTCAAGCGTGTGATGGGTAACCAGGCTAGCACGGGAGGCACTGGTCGCACACTAGGCCTTCGCGCAAAAAAGTGTAGAGGCGTACTACAGCAGTACATGTCGCACCAATGGTGGTGCGTAGCAGCGTCTGTCTGTGCGTTGTTGGTGTCATGTGCCCCTTCTCTCAATTGAAAAAAAACACTACTACTAGGTTGGGAGGTGGAATAGCTTTTTGTTGAAAAAAGTACCTGCAGTATAGGCTCGTGCGTTGCTACCATTGGCCCGTTTACTACACAGCAGTATTAAAAATAATATATTGATTGAGATATGGGGGGCGCCAATCAATGTGATGGACTCCGAAAAAAAAAATTGTCTTGGAAAAAAAAGACACCTTCACACGGACTCGAACCCGGGGAGGAGGGAGGTGTACTCTGAGGGGGGGGGAGGGGTGTGGTGTATATTATTATTATTATTTTGTTTGCCCTCCGACAATTGCAGATAAATGCAGACATATAGTAAAAAATAGGGCTAGCAGCTAAAAAAAAAAATGTTTCTGCTGTTGTTGTTGTGCTTCGCTTGTTGGTTCGAGCTTTGATCGAGAATCTCAAAAGCGTTCAAGCGTGTGATGGGTAACCAGGCTAGCACGGGAGGCACTGGTCGCACACTCGGGACCTTCGCGCACAAACGTGTAGAGAGGCGTACAGCAGTACATGTCGCACCAATGGTAGTGCATAGCAGCGTCTGTGTGTTGTTGGTGTCATGTGCCCCTCTGCGCGGAAAAAGGAGAGGGAGAGGCCGCTGCTTGCTGCTGCTGCTGCAACCAAATGTTGATCTCTCCTCTCGCTTCCTCCGCCGATAGCTTACAGCAGCAGTGTATGGCACACCCTTCTCCCGCCGTCTCGCCCTCGCTGTGGTCTGTGTCTCCCTCTCCCTGTTTGTCCATGTCTGGCTGTGTGTGTGGTGTGTGGTGTGGGAGGCTATCTATCTTGGTTCAAAATCAAACGACGCCTCCTCTCGGTGTTGCAAGGGGCCAGCAACTTCCTGCTTCAAGTTGGGTACCGACGCTGCACTATCTCGATGCACCGAGCACGGATTGAAAGGGTAGTAGTTGGGGCAGCTCGGGCAAAATATTACTTGTTGTGAACACGTCTTTGATTGCAATTTGGTGCCGAGATGGTGAAATGGGCTGGAACCTCTGCTGTGGGTAATATACCGAGGCTGGTCACAGACAGACAGCAGACAGACACAGACAGACAGACAGACAGACAAACAGACTTACTTTTGAGCCCATTTTTTTTTTCTTAAAATCACACAACAAATAAATCCATCTCTATCTATGGAAGAAATATGTCTAAGATAGATTAGCAATGAATCCATCGCGTGAGCGAAAGGCTACCTGTATGTCTACGGTTTCCCAGACAGCATACATACATACAACGTTATCTCTATGTGGGTAACAGGCTCAATCAACAAGGCAGTTTGGTAGCCATCTTGTGTATCTATCTGTATGTTATGTTGGGAAGTTGTAGACGGAAGATTTAGGGGAACTCTGTCGGGTGTTCTATTATGGCACCCTTATGTGGTTGCGGAGCAAGCGCGTCTCGGGGTCGGGTGTGTATGTTTTCTTCGTCATCAACTAATAATTTTTTTTGTGTGTGGTGTATGTGGGCATGCGCGGCGCGGGAGAACATATTTATCTTGTTGTGTAATGGCATGTCGTTAAATGTGAGAAGGGCATGGGAGAATATTATCTCACCATTGCCTCCTGACGTGGCCGCCGATAGAGGCGTGTGGTTGGGGTTTCATCACTGACATGCATGTATGTGGGTGTGTGTTAAATGCAGTGGGTATGGTCGCCTCTCTCGCCCGTGTGTCGGCAGCAGGTATAGCTACCTTTCCCATTAACAGCAGCGCGGACCATAAGTAAAGACAGAATGTATCATTTCGTGCATCTAAGTCATTTGTAGTTGTCTTCACATTAAAAACCGTTCCGATCTCTCTCTGCCCAGTACCTTCGTATGTCCGTACTGATCGAACACTCGACGCGGTCAATTCCCGTGGTCGCAGGTTGACTTACCCTNATGTATGTGGGTGTGTGTTAAATGCAGTGGGTATGGTCGCCTCTCTCGCCCGTGTGTCGGCAGCAGGTATAGCTACCTTTCCCATTAACAGCAGCGCGGACCATAAGTAAAGACAGAATGTATCATTTCGTGCATCTAAGTCATTTGTAGTTGTCTTCACATTAAAAACCGTTCCGATCTCTCTCTGCCCAGTACCTTCGTATGTCCGTACTGATCGAACACTCGACGCGGTCAATTCCCGTGGTCGCAGGTTGACTTACCCTAAAAGGTACATTCAAACAAAATTGCCCCGAGGGGTCCGCAAGTCAATACGGTAGAAATCAACGACAGATGATATATTTATTTATTTATTTATTTATTTTTTCCTTCCGACAATTGCAGATGTACCTCGGAAAACTTTCACTTAATGTCTCATACTCTACATGAATATTAAACCAATACGAAGTACAACAACGTATGTAGGACTTATTTCTACTGTCATTTACATCGTAAAAGTATCTCCTCTTCAACTTGAAATAAAACCAATGACAATCCTGATGGTATCCTATATGCGTTCGTAAGCTTGCTAAAATACTACTGCGTTGATGTCCGCTTGTAAAAGCTGAAATCCAACCAATGCTTGGATCCATGCACGGAGAAGCCCTTTCATCTCCGTTCATGATAACATCTTACCCTATTCTACGCAAATCTGTCACATCTACTCTCAAACAGGATGATATTCTGGAGTCCTCCACTCCCTCTGCGCTCTATGCGAGGTAACAACTNGGATCCATGCACGGAGAAGCCCTTTCATCTCCGTTCATGATAACATCTTACCCTATTCTACGCAAATCTGTCACATCTACTCTCAAACAGGATGATATTCTGGAGTCCTCCACTCCCTCTGCGCTCTATGCGAGGTAACAACTGAGACTAGGAGTCACCATCGCGGGCCGGAGAGAATGAGGTACACCCACTTGGTTCAATCTTGGTACATCACAACGCAAGCAGAGAGACAAGGCCACCTGGCACAGAAAAGAAGAGAGACAACGACAAAAAGACAAAAAGAGAAGAAAGGTATGCGGAAAGAGAGGAATGAGAGGTTGTTCTAGCTTACAAGCAGTTTTGACGGTGTGTGTATGGGTAGGGGGAGTACTCCCTGTGATCGTGTTGTTCCCAAATAGATGTTGTCGCATCCAGTGGCAGCATGATAATGTGTCATGGACAGGTAGACGTGGAAGGAAGGGCGGCGACAGGTGAAGGGCAGCAGCAGTATGACGTGCATGGTGGCATGTTGGGCTTGTACAACGACAGACGACGCAGTCCATCTTCGACCACACACGAAGGAGTTTGTTCGTACCTGCCGGAGTTTTGGAGGGCCCAAGTCAGTCTCAAGCAGCAGCAGTAGGAAGGAGCGAACAGAGGCAGTGCTTCTCTACAGCTTTGGAATCCGTCCTCCTCAAATCCTAACGGAGATGATTACGTATCGCAAAGGCTTTTCCAACACGGAGATGTAGCATGGATCAGAGCATTTGTTGGATTTCAGCTTTTACAAGAGGACATCAACAACGCAGTATAATAGTAGTATTTTAGCAAGCTTACGAACCATGTAGTAGGCACTGCAGTGAAAAATATCGACACTAGCTAAGAATCGTGCCACATTGAAGGGGTCTTCCACGATCAGGCACAAAACCAAACCCCCTGTTTTTAGCGTTTCCAATTCCGTCGATCCGTAACAAGGCTGCACTATTTTTGAGTGAGATTTTCCGAGTTGGATCTGGGAATTGAAAACTTCAATTTTTCAACTGGAATTTTTCTAACCGTAAGAAACCGCCTTAGACTCGTTTTTAACGTTTCCAAATTTTTGTTCCAAAGTTTCCAAATATTTCGAGTCAAATATTTGGAACCAACATCTTCATTGTAAGCGCGTTGCAAGGCAACTTTCCAACTCAATCTCGCCGCATGTGATGGCGAGTGGGCATGCCCCTTAAAACACAACACGCACGCCACAGATAACGGCCCCACACGCGCGACACCATGGTAGGGTCCAACATAGAGAGGGTAGTAGTCACCAAGGGCAAATCCGGGCAGGATTCAGCAAACAGGGCGGTTAACGGCGCTGCTGCAGGTCCAGCCGCATTCGGTTTCCCTGCTCCGCGGGCCGCCAGGCAACACCTCAGGCCAAGGCGAGCAAGCGCGAAGCAGCAAGATGCCGAGAGCATGCCCTACTTGCTGGATAGTGTCAGCCAGGTTGTTGAAAGGAGAAACCATCATGTCTCGGGCATCGAGGTTGCAGCAGCAGGTGTGTGAGAAGCTTGTTTGTGTCTCTCTCGCCATCTGTCGAGACTACATACGGACACCGGTCGCCCCGGTGGTCTATCTAGTGGGTAGCCTCGCAGCCTGCTAAAGGCCAGGTCATGGGTTCGAGTCCCGACAGAGTGAGTTTTTTCTCGCTTATTATATCCTGGTCTCCGTTGGAAGCGACGCGCTGCAAAAGCTCGTTGTTGGTAAACTTGATCGACTCCATAAGTCGCGAGGGAAGGGATTGCTGCACCCTTCTTGCGATAAAAATATCTCAGGAAGGAACCGCAGGAGGAGGGGGTCCAGCCCCCCCCTCCTATGTGACCCCGGTTGGGTCGTCTAGCTGGTAGAAGTGGAGGATATGGGCCAGAGGGGCAGGCGACAGAGTTCAATGATGGGAGAAAAAAAAAGAATACGTGTCCGCCTGGTGTGTCCGCCTGTGTGTGCGTGTGTCGCTGTTCGTCCCCTCTGTCGTCTCGCCGCATTCGCTCGCACCCGCAATTCCACCCCAACACTTCGTCTCGCACTGCAAGTCGAAGCATGTTTGGGGTGGTACTCACGATTCAAAAAGCTGATACCCACATGTGTGCGTCCCTATTCTTGTATCAGGACCTCCGACTCTGTAGCATACATTTCGAAGATGCTGGTGCCACCGACGGTGCTGCTGTTACCCTCTGCGAGAAGCAGCTGTACTTATAGTCTGCGCTACATGTAGTTTGTACATGGGCACATACATGCCGAGAGTACCACTGCTGTGTCCCCCAAACTACTGCTGTATCACCGAAACCTGCTGTAATCCGTCGGTCAAGTCGGCAGCAGCAGTGGTAAATCGTTTGTTTTTTAGTGTACCATGTGCAGCATACACAAATGTACAGCATGTTTTTTCACTCATGAGTTATGGCGTGTTCGTCCACAGCAGCAGCCAATCTGCCAGCGTGCAGTCCTTGTGAGTAAGACAGAATGTGGATTGTTTCGTACAGCAGTACAACGTATTCGTCGGAATCCGCCCCATCACCCCTGCGACTGTTGTCGACACCAAACATGCGTGACCACGACTCGAGAAGAAAAGGTACTTTTCTTTTGCAGTACGTTTTCACCTACATTGACCTACCGCTCTCTCGCGCGCACCCGACGATTTCTGAGATGCGAATGCTTCAATGTTTGACTGAGCGTCTCGCAACGTCGCCACTGTTTTTGTTTCACGTCATTAAGGCGAAAATGCCGCTACAGGGGGCGATCGCNTCGAGAAGAAAAGGTACTTTTCTTTTGCAGTACGTTTTCACCTACATTGACCTACCGCTCTCTCGCGCGCACCCGACGATTTCTGAGATGCGAATGCTTCAATGTTTGACTGAGCGTCTCGCAACGTCGCCACTGTTTTTGTTTCACGTCATTAAGGCGAAAATGCCGCTACAGGGGGCGATCGCACCTCATGCAGCCGGAAGAAAATAATAAAAAGGCATCTTCCGCGCGTGACCGAGTAGACGGCTGGTAGAGGAAAGGCCTTCCCGAGAGCAACGGACGCAGCTGGCGCGAAAGCAGCGCTAGACAACGAGGAATCAGCGTGGGGAAACGGGGCACCGCCTACGGCATTTTGGAGGACTTCAAGAACGAAATAGTGAAGGTGATCTCCGAGAGCAAGAATCGATTCAGGCAGTCTACCCCTTTGATTTTCTTCTTGGAACGAGCTTGCACGATCTTCGTGCCATTCTCGCTGTTATCGGTGCAGGAACGCCTTTTCTGAGCTATCCCAAGCCTCAACATACTTATATTTGTGTGCCATCTTGCCCACAGTGTTGATTTTCCTTGTCCCGAGTGTTTGCGCAACGAAACGGCAGATCGGCGCACCAGCAATATAAAAAACGATGTACAGCAGGAGCAGTGTTGCCTTGCAATTTTCGCCCACCCGACCTCCCCCTGATCTCCCTTCTCAATTATTCTTGCGATGGTTAATAGTGTCGCAGGTTGACGGAGCGGTGGGGAAATATCTCCCAGTATGAGGGAGGGACGAGAGCGAGCGGGAATTGGGTGGGGATATGGGAGGGCTCGTTGCTCTAGGTGTGATCCACGTGGCATTCCTGCATTATCGCCATATTATATACTTCTGGGATACATTCGTTTAGCACATGTTTTCGATACGTTCGGGTTTTGGCGTTCGGGTTTTGGCGTCCCTCGCATTCATAGTCTGGTTCCTGGAAGGCCCACGCCTGCATTATCGCCATATTATATACTTCTGGGATGCATTCGTTTAGCACATGTTTTCGATACGTTCGGGTTTTGGCGTCCCTCGCATTCGTAGTGTGGTTCCTGGAAGGCCCACGCACTTGCCATTGTTGATATACCAAGGAGGGCGAGGACGGTACGGTGGCAAGCTTTTATTGTTCCACGCCACTCGTAAAACCGTGGCATGCTTGTTTTTTAAAAGGCGAAGCAATGCATTTGTAGGTAAAGTAGGTTAAGTACCTCTTGAGAAAATAAACATTGCGTGAGAATTGAATCACACATGCTGAATGTGGGTGCAAATATGTTTGTGGCAGCATCGCATGCGTTCGTACTTTGGGGAGCAGGAAAGAGAGCTGAGCCGATGCTCAGAAATGTACCTTGCCCTGACAACGATTGCCCGGCGGCTTTCTTTTGCCGTGTAGTGTAGTAACCCGTTTGACGAAGGACCTTTCAGCATAGCCATGTGCGTCGTTCCCTTTATGTCGTTTTCAAGTGGGCTCCTTCTTTTGGGTCAACGTGCCACGTGCGTGATTTTTAAGGAAGAGAATGGAGATAGCACTAATCATGCTCCGGTGGTCACGGTATACTGCGCTTTCAAGGGTCAAGCGCATTTTACCACGTGAATGAGTTCCCAACATTTTGTTGCACGTGGTGTGTAAATCACAAACGCCACACCTCCCCACAGGGAGCTTTCTCTGCTTCGTGCGGTCTACAATAGTTCACTTACCGTGCAGAACACCCCCCTCCATGAGAATTTCCCCCCCCAATTACTGGCCGAAGCTCAAAACTTTGAGTTAGCCCTGGGGCATTTTAGTTTTATTCGTCGCGGTTGGCCGATGTCCGAGGCATTACTCCCGGGATCTTCATCGTTTCATTCGTCTCCGTAGGGTGGCACTCCTCGTTGCAACAATAGCCCCTTTTACCCATAAATTAGTGTGGGGGGTGTTTATCGCGACCTTCGGACGCACGAAACACATACACCCATACACAACCAGAGGATCACATCAGCCACAACTCCGGCGTATAGGTGAGCACCTCTACCCGGTGCTTAGCTGCAGCACACTGAGAACAGGAACAACAACATACCAAGTAAAGACGCCAAGCGCAAAGGTTGCAAGCGCACATCGCAGGGGGGCATTTGTCTGCCACCTACTCGTTAAGCCTATTTTAGGGGACGGTGTTCGACAAAAGAAAATTCACCTTGCACAGTTGCACAGCACCTTGCCATGACAAGACAGCAAACAAAAATGAACTCCAAATGGAAGACCGCCTACCGAAACTTTCTCGCCGCCCTTGATCGACAGTGAGTACTTGTCGAAATGGCGCAACCCAAGCCAACCCTACCTCGTTTCGTCCACCGCCTCTCTCTCGCTGACGACTCCCTTGGTCTCCAACTAGACAACACCCCCCCACCNCACTCGTTCGTCCATCGCCTCTCTCAAGCTGACGCCTCCCTTGGTCCCCACCTAGACGACAACACACACGCACACCCTCCCCCCACAGCCCATACACAAGCGCCTGTCGCCTCGTCCCAGCCCAAGCAAAAGCTCCTCTCTCCCCTGCCCACGACTCCAAATCTACAGTTCCCTTGAGGCACCACGTCCGCGCGAAATTCCCCGCCCGCCCGCCCAAATAATTCCCTAGCCCCCCTCTGGTTGGGACCAAATTGTGCCCGGACGGTATCCACGATGCTCGTCCAGCAGTATCGTCATCGTCATGCGCGTGTCGACTTCGCCGGACCCCGTTCGCTTGTCCATGCCAGTCTTCTTGATATTTTGTCGGTAACGTATCGTTGGATGTTCGCCT